TATGTAAATAATAATTTGTATATAAAAATAGTATTTATTATTAATTTATTAACGTGGTACTCCTGTTGAAAGACTGACAGGTCCGAAATCTTGAAAATAAAAAGTTGAACAAGAAACAACTCTGGAAGCTTTATTTATTTTATAATATTTGCATAGTATTATTTATTTATTTATCTCAGTTCTCTATACAGTTGGTCTCGAGGACCACGCCATCACCATCTCTTCAGCGGCGAAGTACTCGATCTACGTATTCTTCGTAGATCGCGAAATGCGTGTTGTCGCTGGAGACCCGCTGGTGATTCTCCACCAAACTCTGCAGCGCTGGCAGAGGCGCCATATTCATTGTACATATTGTATATAATATATATTATATAGTGCATACACTTTGAATGTATTGACAAGATGTCATTAAAATTATTTTAATTGTCAATTGTCTATACAATATAAACCTCGAATGTAAGGGTTACCTAGTATACGAGTACCTCGTATATATGAAATATGTTAGGTAAAAATATGTTTAATATATTCAATACTTCTTCTTCTTTCTTATCTCCAGTCAAACATATTAGGGTATCAAGCTTGTTTGACAACCATCATTACTGGGTGAAGTAGAAAGCGTCTGCCTTTGTCATTAAGACTGGGAGCACTACTCAGTGGCAGGCCGACTTAGCTCCAAAAGAAATGGCCGCCTCTGACATGGAGAACAGACGCCATGTGTAGCCACTCTTAACATGGAGTACAAACGCTGCTCATCCTGTATCCCTGGATTAGGAGCCCTTACAGGGTACTATCAGCCGGGCCAGCTGAGCCCAGGTTTTTTAGTGAGCTTGTTACTTGCTCCCCCTCCTCCTTTTTCAATACTGATGATTTACAACTAACAGAATTGAGACAAAAGGCGATCCGTTGAATATATTTTATATTAAAAAAGGGCGTATCAGGATCAGTGAAAAAAAAAGAAACAATTAGCTCTTGTAATAATTCTAGGGAATTCTCCCACTTTATCAATATTTTGTATAATATACTTTGCCATGGATCCAGGTACGCCCTTTTTTTTATTTAATAAATTTATTTTTATTGAATCTGATTTCAATTAAAATTCTATTATAAATGTTTGTTCATATATTTTAATTGCCACTATCAATAAAATCTGTAACAAATAAATTTACTGTCAATGTGTTTCTTTTCAATAATAACATCGATTATTATCTCTACAGACCTTACTGAAGAAATCGCCGAGAGGGATCACTACTGATGAGCCAAGCCTTCTCATTCAATTACTTATAACTTTGCAGTAATTTCTGTAGAGATAATAATCAATGATATCAAAATTCGAAACTATTTTAAAGGCGTAAGATTCTTTTTTGAAATTAAACAATTTCTACTGCCCTTACTGCAATGGAAAAATTAAGGGGAGGGCCTGGCTCATCAGTGGTGAACCCTCCCAGCGGTTTCGCCAGTTTAATTGTTTTTCAAATTTTACAGAAGAAATTGTTTAATTTCAAAAATATATTTACGCCTTTAAATTAGTTTCGAATTTTGATAACAGATGGCGCGCTAATGCATCAAATCAATGATATTATTGAAAATAAGACATTTACAGTAAATATTTGTTTATAATTCATCACATAGTCAAATTTTAATAATAATGATATCAATCTAGAAGGTAAGTAGCATAATCAATGTCTAAGAGGCCGTTTCATTTAAAATGTTCTCTCTAATACCGAATATAACGTTTAAAAGAGATACACGTCGATCCTACTCAAAGTAGGAACGTCATATCAAGATATATGTAAATATTCTCCATAACATTGTGTAAGGACACAAGATATAATAATAAAGATAGAGGCTGCCTGGCCGGAATTCATAGTTCTTCAAATAAAAGACACTTCGGCCAGTAAATCTTTTTTATTGTCTCGACGTTTCGACAAAAATCTTTTGTCCTCGTCAGGAGTGAACAAACGCTTTGCCAAATGTTTTGATTTTTGTTCGTTCTGACGAGGACAAAAGATTTTTGTTGAAAGGTCGAAACAATAAAAAGATTACTAGCCGATCTTCAATTTGAAGGACAAGGGATAATATTAATCTAGATATTCCAGTGTGAGCTGAGGAGTCAACAAGGGAGAAGCCAACCAGGGAGAGCAGATATCGAGCGAGGGCCCCAGTAGATAAATTACCTCCAGATGGTGATAGATGCACAGCTACAAACATACTGTTTGATTTATGACCGATAATTTATAAAAATGTTAGGGGCTCCCAGTAATATAGCTGCCTCCTTATTGTATCGTGTTCTGGATAACTTTCTCTTCACCCCGTTCTGTTACATTCTCTGGAGAACATTCCTCAACTAACGCTTATCGCCAGTTCAATGTTAGACAATTATACACTCAAAGCACTGCAAATATATTTTACTTACAAATACACCATTAAGTTTTAAAATTACAAATATATTCTCACAATGAGTATCTTTTTTATTTAAAAGACGCTAGCTTTCAAGCGTTAATCGCTCTTCAACGGGCTTACTATAATATCGACTTGATCCCACCAGAAATATTTACAAAATACAATACAAAATATCATGAACACTATTAAGTAACGAATGAATACGCTACAACGCGAATGTTTCTTTTCACAAATAAATCAAACTTCTAGTGTCCTTATTAAGATAAATATAGTGTCTTAATGTCTTCATGCGTTATATATTGCCACGTGGAAAATTAGGTAAGATAAAAACTTCAGGATGAGACAACAATTTATTTCAGGCAAGAACAAACTATGAGTGATAAACAAAAGATAAGCAAAAGAGGGAAGTGTACAGAGTATAGCAAAATATAAACATAAAAATAATACTCTGCTATTAAAATAATAAATACTTTGTTACAATATAGAAGGCGCGTTATTGCTTTGTATTAATACACTATGATGTGAATGTGAAATAATATAGCATTCAAAACACATACACTATATATATGTATTTTTAATACGGTTCTAATTCCAATTATATGAATACGTATAGACACAGTGTTCGCAATTTCTTTCGTTTATTTACGAATAGACAAGCTTTCAATCTGGAATCATTTATTCGTTGAGCCACAATCTGAAGTAAATTAACCGTATTTCTCTTTAATAGATCATAAACCAGCTTACAATAATGATATTCTCTGTTATATAGAAGTCCTTTGTATTTTATAATAGAATAAATAAATATATATATTTTTACTTAAAAACATATATATATATTGGATCAAAAATAATTTATATACCAATATTTCAGTTGGCTCAACGCCAACCTTTTTCAAGGTATAACAACATATTTATGTCAACAACAAATTCAGCGCCTATTTGTTGACATTGATTTGTTGTTATACCTTAAAAAGGTTGACGTTCTACTGAAATATTGGTAAACACATTATTTTTCGATCCAATATATGCCTTTTTAATTAAGATTTATTTATGGATTATTTTATTATAAAATTTTATAAATATATAATATATAAATATGAAATGTGAACATATAATTTAAAAAAATAGAAAAAATGTCATGTGTTGATATTAAAAATAAATAAGGCTGATTTCTAACATGAGCGTCTTTTAGATGGCACTTTGCTGTCTAGAAGACGCTAATGTTATTGGTCAGGATTTGCCTCATTAATTTTAATAATTGTGAATATAAGATTTTATATTAGAAATAGAAAAGTTATATCCTTACCAGGAGCACATGTGCTTTTTAGATGGCAGTGCGCCATCTAGTGGAACAGATATCAACTAAACATTTATTCAACCTGTTTTCTGATATTTTGCCAACCCAATTCCTTGATAAATCAAGAAAAGCCATCCATGAACGCGTTTCGTGCTGTTGGCGCTCGTCAGCGTGGAGTAGGCTGTACCACTGTGTGTGTTGTGTTGGAGTAGGCTGTACCACTTCCACAGAAATATTATATAGATAAAATATCTTATTAGTCGATAAAGGAAATCTACAATATCTTTATCTTCTGTTTATTTATCGATGATCTTCACAATTTATTTATCTCGTATCTACACAATGACAATACTATTTACTTGAGAGTAGAAAAATTCTCTTTTTACTACCTTAATCGTAAGATTGAAAACTCACATCTCCCGATATTTATTTATATAAAAAATGTGTCTATAATCCCGAGTCATTTCTTCAGTATACCTGAAATGAATGGAATACAATCAAATATATTTGGTTCTTCCGTAAAAAGAAATAGAAATAAAAATAAGAAGAAGCAATAGGCTATAATAGAAATAAAATGGAAGCTTCTATTTTGATAGAAATTGATTTTACTGCGGAACTGTGAAATTGGAATTTCCCAGATAGACAGCGAGGTTACAAACGTAAGAATTCAAGGCAGGACTTAATAGTTAACATATATAGACATAAGAATGATTATAGTTCATCAATTCAGATTATTCTTTGTTTTTTCGGATGTAATTTGGGTTCTCTAGAATACAACAATCTATTTACAAATTACGAAAATGGTATAAGACGCCGCAAATATTTTATTAATTGTATGAAGAGGTTTTCGGGAAAGCCTTTCCTCAGCAAACTAAACAATTATAATACAATTTAATACACTGCGGCCTGTGATTGTAAAACGACACTTGAAGTTACACCGCATGAGTTTCTTTTCAACGACAAATTAAAATTTTATTTCAAGGTGAAATATCGACTATTTCTAATCTTTTTGGAAGAAGTATGAAAGGATGAATTATGAAGAGTAATGACGAACGGAAAAATAAAAGTGTCCAGGGATGGGAACACTTTTATTTTTCCGTTCATCATTACTCTTCACAATTCATCCTTTCATACTTCATCCCTAAAGTTGGAAATAATCGTTATTTCTCCTGAAAATAAATAAATAATGATTTTTCGTGTAAAAAAAGCATTTGCGGTAAATTGTCATCGTTCTACAATCATAAGCCGCATCATATTGTATTATAAATTAACTTTATATAATATTTACGAACGGAAAAATATGTCCAGGGTAGCCTAGTGGTATCTGCCCGGTAAGCGGAACACTGTGGGTTCGATTCCCATCCCTGGACACTTTTATTTTTCCGTTCATCATTACTCTTCACTAAACAATTATACAATTTATATTTTGAAATAATTTCAAAGACTATATAAAACAATATATCAATCGAAATAATTGCAAAAAAAATATTTTTTCAATAAAAATAGCAAGCTTTCAAGCGTTATTTCATTAATTATTCAATTAATAAATGTTTTACATTATATCTTTACAATATACTTACAATTTTACATAATGCCATTAATAAAAAGAGAAATGGCGTCTTAGACCTTTTTGTAATTTGTCGAATTCCGCAAACCTGTGATACTGTCTACAGTATATATATGTTATGAAAAAAATGGATTTCTGTTTATTTTTGATTATCCTAAGGATTATGCTATGGTGATGCAGTCGTTGTTAAAATATTGAATGTATAATAAAAATATTGAAGATTAGAAATAGCTTTAATTGAGCTTAGGGGATATAAAAAAACAATTTGATAAAAGTTCTGTCTGGCTTAAGGCGTAAGAATAAAAAAAATGAAAAACTTATTTACATAATGTACAAAAGGTTTGAGCCGGTCATCGGGAAAAAGAAAATATTGTAGCGTAGAAATAAAGCCTTGAAATATCCTAAGATGTAAAAGTATTTATTGATGACATCACAGCGACGAGTCGACAATTATTAACAAGTTAGCAAAACTATTTACAGCTAGAGAATCTTAAGCAAGCAAGCAAAGTAATATTTTAAAGATGATTTCACAAATACAGATTAATATATATTTTTATAATCTGTAGAATATATTTTCATTGAATAATATTAAATTAAATAATAAAATATTTCTTTGTCACATAGCCTCCTCCTATAGAGAGCATCGACCCGATGCTCAGCAGGAGACTTACGTCGTCAGTCTTAAGAACTAGTACTATGGCCAGGGATATTTTCAGGTGACTGCGGTGGATGTCTTCTTTCAGTTGAGATATCTTCTTCATGAGGGCTTGGTAGGTCTATGTTTACGTCAATGTAGTTTTTTATTTCCACTGTGGTCGGCAAGGGAGGATTTTATAAATTTGCGGGGTATACCTCCCATATTGTCTATCATCTAGTTTTAATGGCGGGGCGTCCAGCTAGATCTTCTAGCAGGTGAGAGGTGTTGTCTGTTTCGACCGCGATATGAAGTAGGGCTTCGGTAGCGAGTGAAAGTTTTCCTCGATGATTCGTCATTGGGGTCCTGAGATTCAGCTCGAGAGTTGTAGGATACCATTGCGTCTTGCTTTCTTTGGAAATAGTCATTTCTCCTTTCCTCATTGTGTCTCTTCCTGTCACGGCAATAGCGGACGACGTGACCTGGGCGTCCGCAGTAGAAACAGATTGGCCTTCCCTCAGTTGTACGCCAATCATTGGTGTCGCGTCTTCCTCCTTGTTTTGGGTATCGTGGTTCAGGGTGCGGTCTTATCGTTTCGGCCTCATATCTGGTATTTAAAAACTGTCGGGGTTTTTCCTTCTGAGGGGGACTTCTCCTAGACTTTGAGATTGGCGCCAGGGTTCTTCCAATCTCTTCCTTTACAATTTCTTCGATTGTAGCATTTTTTGGTTCCTCCCGAGGAGAGCCTAATGCCCGCTGTACCTCCTCACGAACAATTTGCCTAATCAAAGATGACAGATCTTCTCCGTCATCCTGGTCACAGAGAGAGGCTACATTTGGTAGGCGCTCGTACCTGGTTGGGGTAACTCCCCTACAACGGAGCGCTTCGACACGGCGACATTCTGTAATGAATTGCTCGGTGCTCTGTACATCCCTTGGTAGGAGTGCTTGATAAAGCTCCTCAGCTATCCCCTTCATGAGGTGGGAGATTTTATCTTCCTCGCTCATTTGAAGATCAGCCTCTTTGCACAAGCACAGGACATCCTGGATGTAAAATTCGGTACTTTCGCCTTTTAATTGTGCCCGCGTTTTAAGTTTCTTCTCCGCTTGCAATTTTGAATTTTCTTTTTTTCCGAACACATTCTCTAATTGAGATGTGAATTCCTTCCAAGTCTGGATGCTTTCTTCGTTGTTCTCAAACCATTTGAGAGCAGTTCCAGACAGATAAAAATAAACTTTAGTAAGACAAAGGGTTTCGTCCCAATGGTTGTACCTTGCCACACGTGCATACCCTTTTAACCATTTTTGAAGATCTTCACCATCCTCCCCGGAGAAAATGGAAGGGTTCCTTGGAAGATGTTGAACAACGTAGTTGCTTATCTGAGTACCTTCCTTCTTTACATTCATAGAAGTTTCTTTTGGTTCAACAGAATCAATTTTTCTCTTATTTCTTAATGGGTATCGGTCCAGTCTCTCCACCAGTTGTAGCGTAGAAATCAAGCCTTGAAATATCCTAAGATGTAAAAGTATTTATTGATGACATCACAGCGACGAGTCGACAATTATTAACAAGTTAGCAAAACTATTTACAGCTAGAGAATCTTAAGCAAGCAAGCAAAGTAATATTTTAAAGATGATTTCACAAATACAGATTAATATATATTTTTATAATATGTAGAATATATTTTCATTGAATAATATTAAATTAAATAATAAAATATTTCTTTGTCACAATATGGTTTTACGGGCTACTAACCAAAAGTTATGATTTTTGAGCCCAAGCGCGATGTCAGGTGGCAAGGGACCCTAGGATCTGGCTGCAGGAGATGTGTCGCAGGGGTAGTGGAAACGTTGGGCAAGCAGGGGAACAGCGCCAAGGTGCAGTGAGGCAGGAGCATTAAATTGGCCAGGAATCCAGTAGAAGTGGCAGATGGAATTGGAGGCAGAAGGTCCTTGAAGCCTAGAACTTGAGGGCCCTAGACTTCAGGAGCATTGGGCAGAGTTGTGGCCGAAGCCACAGCAGCGGAAGCAGACGCGGGCGCGGATGGACTCCTCGAAGTTGAGGATTACTCCATCAACCACGATTCTCCCGCGAACGCCCAGGGCTCTAAAGGTCTTGAGGTCCACCTCGATGAAGGCAGTGCAGGTCCCGCTTCTGGGTGCAGAACGGTGCGCCACGCGCACCACCTTGTCCCCAGGAAGCTTTCTAACAGCAGCGGTTTCCAGGAAGGTCTCCTCAATTGTGGAGTTGGATGTCTCCTCATCCACTTTGAAGAGGCAGATCCGTGGCAGGATCTCCTTCTGTTGGCGGACCTTCATTCCATTCAACTTGCTGGCCAGGAAGGTTGTCACCTCAGGGATGGTGTCAGGATTACTGGAGTGGAGGACCAGCTTCCCCTTGGTGCGCAGGGAGGCCCAAACGCCTTGGGGGAGAGTGTGGGCAGCGCGAACAGCTTTTAGCATCTCCCTTGGGTCAGCCTGTGGGTCATCAGAGATGACCACTGTGTGGGCCGCCAATTTTTCTCCATGGAGGACCACTTGGGCGGCCGCAGGCTTGGATACGCGGGAAGGCGCAGGTTTTGAAGGACCATTCAGTTTTGTCCTCTTTGCAGGCGGGTTGGGAGCCTCAGACTGCTTCCTTTTGGTTGGAGCAGGAGCAGGCAAGGTGGAGGCAGGCTTCTTGGCAGGTAGAGCAGCAGGAGCAGGAGTGGCGGGCTTGATTGGGTCAGTCTGGGAGCTGGTTTCCTTGCAGGAAAGAGAAGGGCAGGTTTGAGTGCCGCGGCAAGCAGTCTTGGGCTTGTTGGCCTCCTCAATTTCGTCCAACTCTGCGAAGGACTCGAGGGTGTCAGTGAGGTTCTCTACATTGGTAGCGAGGGCTTTGATCATTTCAGTCCGCGATGCGATGTAGCGGATCAGGTCCTCATGCAGGGATTTCAGGGCAGGATGGCCAATGGAGCTCAGGATGCTGCAGTTGCGTGAGATCACCATCTCATCTTCCCTCTCCAGGTCGGCGACGTTCACGATGGGCTTGTAGGCCTTCTTTTTCTTCTTGGCAGGATTCATGATGGCCGAAATGAAATGGTCATCGGGAAACAAAAACAATGAGTTTTTATAGGGTAAGCGTGACCTCTGGCGGTCAATTTAACAGAGTATTTGTATCTATGAAATATAATTTTAAATAATATTTTAATATAACATTCCCCCCTGTTAAGAAAATAATATTTCAATATATATATAACATATATTTCTCCCAAAACACTTTCTGAAGCTATCAATTTTAAAACCACGAGAGGTGGTGTTGTTTCATGTTGATACAATATTCTCTCTGTAGTTATTTGTACCTAACCTAAGAGACACCTTTCGTCCAGTAAAGGTTTTTTTAATTCTTTCGACGTTTCGACAAAATTATTTTGTCTTCGTTTGCAAAAAAATAAAAATTAAAGAATTTTGCAAGGCGCTAAAAATTAATCTGAGGTTGCAAGGGGTGCCTTGCCTAATGCTTTAATTTTATTTTTTCTTGAAAAGGATAGAAGATATTTTGTCGAAACGTCGAAGAGGATTGAAAAATATTTATATTATGATGTATTAGTGCGCCATCTGTTATCAAAAATTGAAACTATTATAGACGCGTATGATTCTTTTCAAAAATAAATAATTTCTACTGCCCTTACTGCAATGAAAAAATTAATGGGAGGGCTCATCAGGCAGTAGAAATTGTTTATTTTTTAAAATAATCATACGAGTCTATAATAGTTTCGAAAATTAATAAAAAAGATTCATTGGCAGAAGAGTCTCTTAATTCTAAGTATTATGAATGTCGAATAGGCAATCTCTATTTTAATGATATTTGAAGAAGTTGATTTGCGAATTTTTATTCAAATAGAGAGCATAGATTAAGACAATTAAGGATGGTTATGGTCAATAGATGACATTGTCTTTTCGATTTCCGATAGTCGTTTATTCGACCGATAGAGACTGTTCAATGGGGCAATAAGGAGCTTATTATGTTACAATAACAGTCTATGGGTTGGCCAGGTCACGTCAACAGGTGCTCAGTTCTCCATCTCTCTATATCCTGAATTCTGCCTGTAATAAGGTGGAAACTTAACGCGACATCGGTATAAGGTCGGTGGACGAGTGGGTAACACCCTCGATTCCCGACAGTCATG